GGGGGAGAGACTATACATGCATACATTAAATGTGTACCGTTACCCATTTTCAATGGTGTGCTCACGACACATCAGAACTTACAGGCTAGTTTTGGCGCGAACTGTACATCGGGGCTGGAACCATTTGGACTTTGAACACGACACGTAAAAACAGATCCTACGTCTGTGGAAGAGGAGAAGTTATGTGTGAGGCAGCGTGGTGAAATCAGGCGCTCGTCAAAATAATCAAAGGGAAGAAACTGGCATTTTTTCGAAAGTTTGTAAATTTTTATCGAATTTTCGTGGGTTTTTTTTTTTGGCTCAACACCTTTCATGCCCATTAAAGAATGTATTTCTGTGTGGACTTCACAAAAAAAACAACAACTACAACCGTAGCCTAAAGGCACAAAAAATGCAACTTTTCAGTTTTCACGAACCCTCAAGCATAGGAAATAACTTATTTTAAGCGGCTTTTTTTCTCACTAAGTTTACCTCTGAAACCAGGTGACCCCCACCTTTATTTGCAAATATCTCGAATTCTATTCAAGGTAATGTAATTTTTTAAAATCCAAAGCAAGACAAATGAGCTAGCTTTATGATGATACCAATAACTCTACATGTCCAAAAATTGACGAGAGCCTGATTCCACAGCGTCGTGATACGTCGTATGGCAAAAATGCTGGAGATGAACGTTCAACTCGTAACTCAAAACACGGTCAAAATTGACTCGTGAACGAACTATTCCGGTAGCTGCAAAATGTCGTTTTTTTTATTAAGGGAGGAGAAGTGGTAAGATTATCTGGGTCCTTGAGCGATTCGACTTGACGTCCCTATCCAAGGTGATATCACACAAACTATAGCTTCTCCAGATACGAAAAATAGAATTATATGTGTCACGATGCTGGGGAATCAGGCGCTCGTCGATTTTGTGACATGTGGATATATTGGTATCATCATTTGATAGCGTATTCATTTGCCCTGCTTTCACAGGAAAAAATTACCCATCTACCTCGAATAGAAGTCGAGCTATTTGCGATTGAAAGAGGTAGGTTACCTTGGTTTCAGTGGTAAAATTGATTAACGAGAAAATGGCCGCCAACGTTTGATAACTTCAATAGCTTCATCTTCCTTGAAAACTGAAAAATCACGTATTTTGTGCATTTATTTAATCAACGTTTTTCAGTAAAATTCACACGGAAATGTATTTTTATATAGAAGGTGCGGAGCGAAAAAACAAAAATTCGATAAAAATTGAAAAAAAAAAAAAAAAAAAAAAAAACTGGCGAAAAATGCTTGTTTCTTCAATTTCATTACTTTGACGAACGCCTGATATCACGATAATGCCTCACATATCAATCACTACTCCAGATTTTCGTCTTGAATAATGCCATGTTGAATCCCTCTACTCTTTCAATAAAGGAAATAAAGTGAACAATGTATTGCAGTATCGAAAGGAGAAAACTTTTAAAGGTCTTATGAGGCCAGCGAATTTTAGAGGTTGTCTCCCTTTACGAAGAAAAGACGAAAATAATTTCCTTCTCATTAATTGGTGCTTGGCATTTCGTTTGTATTTCTACAGTGCTGGGTTATACCCAAACAAAGGACATTTATTCTTAATAAGCTCAAAATAAAGAAATATAACCCTAATTCTTTTTTATCGGATACTTAGAATTAATTCCTTGAGGAGTGACCTATGCATACAAAACCAATAAAAAAACAATACCCCCTAAAAAAGTCCAACAACCCAAAAATACTCCGCCCCCCCCGCCCCCAACCAACTACGCACACACAAAAATAACAATACTAAGTTTTAAAAAAAGAAAAGAAAAAAGTTAATACTTATTTAATGTTGGTGGTCATTTTATCATCTTAGCATAAGAACTGTGTCAACCCGACTCCTAAATAATCGAAATCGTACCGATTCGGG